AAGAGGATGCCCGCCGAGCTGCTCGAATCTACGAGTACGCGTCTGACCTCGAAGTCGCTGATCCTTAGTTTAATGACAAGCGCGTCATCGTGGGGGTAGCGGACTCCTCGTGCGTCGTCCTCCGTGAAGAAGATTGGTTCTTCGGTCTTTGGTCTCTTTGGAGGGTTCCGCTCCTCGAGGGCCGCTTTGCGAACTGAAGTCCGGGTTGCTGCCGAGGTACACCCTGCTACCACCGAACCTCCCACAATTACATGGATGGTTCCTCGAACTGCACCCTTCGCGAATCCATCAACCTTTCTTTCTCCATTAGAGCAGTTCTTCCTCCACTTTTCTTTTTCCTTTTTTTCCCATACACCCTTCGAATAGAAGAGTGTATGGAGAGATAAGTTGCTGATCAGTCAGAGGACTATTTGCCTAGTTGGTAGAGAGTTTGGAGAGTTAGAATCTGGTCGAAAATTGCCAGAAATTGAAACTGTATTTTTTTTTGCCCAAAACCCTAGCTGACTAGAGAGATTTCAAGTTATAGGTTAAGGAGAAGGATTGGGTGTGGCACTTGGGGCTTAGGTGGTGTATTTTGATCCCCAGAAGTGTGGTTGAGATTTGAAGGATGTTGGGAAGCTCTTGTAGGAGCGGTTGCTTCATCTCTCTTCCTCCCCGACAACCGGGTGCAGTGAAACCCTAGTTTTTTAATCTCCAGGTACTGCACTGACCTCAGTTAGGTCTATAAAGACTGAAAAACTAGTTTTTTTTTATTATTTTTATTTTCGTTTGATCAATGGAGCAATCTGGAAGTGAAATGAAACAAGTGTCGGTATCCAACGTGGTTGGTCAACTCTATGCAAACCCATATAAGTCAAGCATTACCTCTGGATGACCTCAGCCAAGGAGATTTGGGATAGTGTTATAGAAACTTATTCACAGGAGTTAAATGTTGCAAGAGCCTATTAGTTGAAGAGTGATGTGAAAAATCTGAGACAGGGGGAGAAGAGTGTGGCAATTTACTACTCTATGCAAGGTTCTAAATATCGATACAGGTCGATACGCTGGTAGGGCGTATCGGCCTGTATCAGTGCGTTTTTTGTGTGTTTTATTTATTTATTTTTTCAAAACCGGTTCAGAGAGGTCGGTTTATTTCCCAACTACCCTCTAAACCATGGCCTAATCCGATACACCCCCTATAGGGGCGTAGCGGGTAGGCCCCGATACGTAATGGTATCTTGAACCTTGATTCTGTGTGCCAGAGATTCACATGGAGTGTTATCAGTCAGTTTATGCATTGTCCACAGATACACATTTAGTAGCTGTAGAAAGAGTTTTGTGCTACTTGAAAGCCAGTCTAGGGAGAAAGTATACTGTTTGCCAAGCATGGACACATGATGCCAGAGGCATACACTGATGCTGACTAAGCCGATTTTATTGATGATAGGAGATCCACCTCAGGATATTGTTCCTTGGTGGTAGGGATTATTCTCTCATGGAGAAGTAAGAAACAGTCTGTAGTTGCTAGATCCTCAACTGAAGCAGAGTACATGGCAATGGCACATGGAGTGTCAGAATTATTGTGGTTGAGATCACTTTTGGGGGAGTTGGGTAGTGACTGTGGAAAGCCAATGATGCTCTATTGTGACAACCAGGCAGCTATTAACATTTCTCATAATCTTGTTCAGCATGACAAAACTAAGCACATAGAGGTTGGTAGGCATTTCATAAGGGAGAAAGTTGCTTTAGGGGAAGTTTGCTTGCCATTTATTGCTTCAAAAGAGCAGTTGGCTGATATTTTGACCAAAGGTGTTCCAAAAGGAAAGTTTACACACTATATAAGCAAGCTGGGCATGATTGACATCTGTGCTCAGCTTGAGGGGAGTGTAGAGAGACTGGGCCGAAGGGGCCCTAATATTTCTTTTATGTTTAAGTAATGCTATATCTGTTTTATGTGTTAATGGGCCTGTTAACCTCTTTTTTAAGTTCTTTTAAGTTGCTGCTTTTCTTGCCGCCCACTTAAAGGGCAGACTTGTAATTAGCATGATTAATTAAGTTTAGTAAAAGATTAGTGAAGGGAGAGAAAGATCCATCGAACTCTCTTCTTCTTCTTCTCCATCTTCTTCTTCTATTCTGTTTGTAACCTTTCTTTCTCTCTCACTTTTCTTATTTCTTTTATCAGTTTTATATTAGATATGAAGGACAGACTCACATCTTTTCTAATAGTGGCATCTTCCTCTATCCTCTATGGACCAAACTATTTGATATGGTGTCAGGTTGTTTCTTCAGGAGTATTTCTTCTACTAATTATGATTTAAAATTGCAATACACAGGCTTTTATACCTAATAAAAACAGGATTTTGTAAATGGTCTTATGATTCTTGGTGTGGATCATCATGCATGAATCATCCCAGTAAAGTGAAATGTATAAAAAGATTCCAATTTAACTGTTTTAAAATGCAAAGGACAACATTTATGAAAAATCTAAGGCAAATGGAAAATTATAAAATTCATGTAAAGGACTAACAGACTTAGTAACATTGACTGCAACAGCTCAGTAGTTGTTTCAATGAGAATTGTACTCATTTATCTTTAGATAATATAAGTTATGTTGATGACTTCTGGTGTTTAAGAAATGTCCTTGCAAGCTTCTTGTCAGTTGCATGTCATGGCTATTTTGCTGTCCTGTTGTGATTATGGCTTTCTACTGTGCTTATATATATACTTAATATTYTTAAGTAGAGCTTAATTTCAAGTAAATCTGTTAAAATATGTTTGCAACATCATAAACTTTTTGGAATTCTTGTAATTCTACAGGAGGAGTATAGTGGCTATACCTTCCCACTTGCAGTTGCAATTGTGTTATCAGGCCAGTATGAAGATGACTTAGATAATTCAGAAGATATTATATATACAGGTCAAGGGGGAAATAATTTGCTTGGTAATAGGCGCCAAGTCCAAGACCAAGTGATGGAACGTGGCAATTTGGCCCTTAAGGTGGATATTTTGGAATTTCATTATTTTCTTCTGTTTGTTTTGCTGTTCTCATGTTAGCTGATATTACTTGCACCAAAATTGTTGAAATTTCCTGATGAGATTGTAATGAAATCATTACCTGCATGTCCTTTTAAACTTGTGCAATATGTGCTTGTTTACCATGGTTATTTTTTGTCTGTCTTTAGTGTTTTAAAAGCGCAAGGCACAAAAAAAGCACAAGGGCCACTTGCTCCAGACGCGCAAGGTGAGGCAAACACCTTTTTGAAACAAGGTGCAAAAAATACAAAAAAATGCCAAAAATGCAAAATATTAAAAATACTAAACACAATATTAATTAAAAAAAATAAACTTAAACTTTAAACAAATGTTTTAAAAAACCTATTATCTCAAATTAAAATATATAAACAAAACATGTAAAGCATATTTAAAATGAAAATTTAATAATAGAATCAAGCATAACATATAAAACATTAGGGTTGTTCATGGGTTGGTTTGGTTCGATTTCACTTTGTTAACCAAATCAAATTTTTTGGGTTGACTTCAGAGCCAACCGAAACCGATTGAAAAGAGGTAAAATTTGGCTCTGACTTATTTTTTGGTTGAGATCGGTTTTAGTAGTGATTTAAAAGGCACACCTTAGGCACGCCTAGGCACATAGGTAGAGCCCCTGACCCAACCGCTAGGTTCAAAAAACACAAAAAAAAACGTAAAAATTTAAGAAGTACACGCTTGGGCTTAAGCACAATGCGCATCAAGCGCACACCTAGACGCACCAGATATGCACCTCTAGAAAATGCTGCGCCTAGGGCCTAGGTGAGGCACATACCGTAAAATGCGCCTCGCCTGTATGCCTAGGCACACCTTTTAAATCACCGCTAAAACTGATGTCAAGTGTCAACCCAAAAATAAGTCAGAGTCGGTTTTTACCTCTTTTTGGTCAGTTTCGGTTGGCTTTAAAGTCGATCTGAAAGATTTGGTTGAGTTGACAATATTTAGTGAAACCAAACTGAACCAACCCGCGAACAACCCTAATGTTTTATATGTTATGCTTGCTATTTTTAAAATTTCATTTTAAATATGTTTTACATGTTTTGTTTATATATTTTAATTTGAGATAATAGGTTTTTTAAAGCGTTTGTTTTAAAATTTAATTTAATTTTTTAATTAATATTGTGTTTAGTATTTTTAGTATTTTGCTTTTTATTGAATTTTTGGCATTTGTTTTTGTATTTTTTGCACCTTGCTTCAAAAAGGCATGCGCGTTGCCTTGCACCTTGCACCTCTAGCATAAAATGGCCTTTACACTTTTTTTGCGCCTTATGCTTCTAAAACACTAATTGTTGGGGATTCCAAGGTGGTTGAATAACCTTGAGATTGTCATGTGGTGCTACAAGAGTGAAATCAAGAAATTTGAGTCTTTAACTAGAAATATGTCTGTAACAATCAGTGATTTAAAAGGTGCGCCTATGCACACAGGCGAGGCACATTTTAGGGTAGGCGCCTCGCCTAGGGCCTAGGTGCAGTCCATTCAAAAGCCTTGAGCCTTAGCCTAGGCGTGTGCCTTTTGAAAATTTGCCGCTTTTTCCATTTTTTTGAGTCTGGCCGCTAGGCCCTCCCGGACCCCCATGCCACGTCCCTCGAGGCCAGCCCAAACAAGGCCATGTTAGGGTCTTAAATTCTTAGTTTTCACACAAAAAATAATAATTTTATAGTTTTAATTGCTTTTAAGAAGATATTTTATTAGGATGAATGAATGGACAACATTACCAAATAGGGTATTCTTGAAGCTTCGGTGAGCGATCCTAATAAAATATCTTCTTAAAAGCAATTAAAACTATAGAACTATTATTTTTTGTGTGAAAACTAAGAATTTAAGACCCTAACATGGCCTTGTTTGGGCTTGCCTCGAGGGGCGTGGGACAAAGGTGGCTCGTAGAATTAGGAATGTAATATGTCACATTAGCTACTTGATGCAATTGAGAAAAAAAAGAGATTGTGGGTTTTATATGTTTGATTTCATTTTTAAATTCTCATTTGAATATGCTTTACATATTATATTTATGTATTTTAATTTTAGATAATAGGTTTTTTAAAACATTTATTTTAAAACTTAAGTTTATATTTTTAATAATATTATGTTTTATATTTTTTTGATTTTTTAGCTTTTTTTTTTTTTTAATTTTGCGCCTTGTCTCAAAAAGGCGCGTGCCTCGCCTTGCGCCTCAAGCGCACAATGGCCCTTGTGCCTTGCGCTTTTAAAACACTGGTAACAATACTATGGCCTGTCTGTATCAGTTTCAAATTATGATTTAATAAAATTTTCTTACTTATCAAGAAAAAAAAGAAAGGTGCATCCATGATGCATGTTCATTCCTCACACCCAGGAGGCTCCTTTCCCACAAAGGAAGTCTGGTGTAGTCCTGTACCCCCAAAGGTAAGAGCTTTTTGTTGGGAGCTGGGGCTTCAGAAGATTAATACTCTAGAAAATTTACAAAAAAGAAGGCCAAATCAATGCCTCTCCCCTCATGCTTGTTGGCTTTGTTTGGGAAATGGTGAGACAGTAGCACATCTTTTACTTTCTTGTCCCTTTGCTTCTTGTGTATGGGATTGGTTTTCTTCCTTATTTGGCTGCAGGTGGACTACTCACCCTGATGTGGCAAGTCTTTTCAACCCAAGTTTCTTCTGACTTTCAAAGAAAAGGGGAAGAGTGATGTGGAGGGCAACAATAGCAGCCATTCTTTGGTCTTTATGGGAAGAAAGGAACAACAAAATATTCCAAGGGGCACAAAGGTCAACAGAACAAATCATTGATTGTGTAGCCATTAATGTCATACATTGGCTGAAAGTAAGTGATTTATTTAAAGATTTTTCAGTGGATGATATGCAAAGGGGCTGGTCAGCAGTGGCAAACTCTTCAACTAGACACTTTGTCATTCAGCCCTCTTGGACACCAGCAACACAACCAAGGGTAAAATTGAACTTTGATGGAAACTCCATGGGTAATCCAGGACCCTTGGGAGCTGGGAGAGTTTTTAGGGATGGGGAGGGCAGAATGGTGGCACTATACTCTGGTTCCATAGGAGTGGGAGACTCTTTGAGAGCTGAAATTTTGGCTCTCCTACAAGACCTGAGATTTGTCAAGCAATGGGAGTTTCAGAACTTGGAGGTGGAAGGAGACTCTAAATTGCTAATAGGGTGGCAGCAAACAAAGAAGTTGGGTGTATGGAAGTTTAGACAGCAAATAAGGGAGATAATCTGCTTGGCAAGGGAAGTTGGAGTAACATTCAAATGGGTAAGGAGATCGGCAAACTTTGTGGTAGATAGCTTGGCAAAACAGGGGACTTTCAGGGAAAACTTATTTTGGGCTGTACTGTAATTCTTGATGTTATTTTGGGGTCAACACTCTTTGTCTGAGTGGTTGATAGTGTAAGATGTTTTTTTTAATGTTCTTAATGAAAGTTGCCGTTTTCAATAAAAAAAAGGTTACCACATGAATATGATTTTGTAAAGTTAAAACTTTGATGGGAGAAGCCAAGGCAATCTGGGTCCCTCGGGTATAGGGATGTGCGGGTGTGGGGGACTCCACTAGAGCTGAGCTATTTGCGTACTTCTAGTTGAAGGTATACTGTTAGCAAGACAGCTGAACATTGACAAATTCATTATTGAAGGAGACTCCAAGCTGGTTATAAGTTGGCTACAGTAACCATAGGCTGCAAGTTGGGCTCCTAGGGAGGAAATTTAGAGATTTAAATGGACTACTACCAACATGACTTTAAGAATCCAATTGGAGAAAAGGTTGGCTAATGGAATGGTACTATGGTAGAATACCTTATGCAAACAAGGGGTTAATAGGGATCATCTTTTTGGGGCTCAGTTGTATTTTTTTTTTTTATTTTTTATTTTTGTTGTTATTGAGAGTTTGGACCTTGCGGGTCTCCTTTTTCTTTGTAATTCTGCTGGGTTTTAATGAAATTTTTGTTATCTATCTGGAAAAAAAAGAATGTTCTGAGCAAGCCTTTGTTTTTTTTTTCTTCTTTTTTGAAATTGGTTTTGGAAATGTCATTGCGGTCAGATGTTAGTGGAGCTTGAGTATGATGTTTAGAGCTTTGGTGTAATAAAAATAGGGTTGACATCTCCAATTATATGGATCCTGGGTAATTGTTGGATTTTGCCATTATCTGTAGGGCTCATGGTTGCATGGATTTCGTCATCAGGGTAAAACTGACCATGCAAACATGCCCATACCATGTAGGATCATAGTATTCAAGTCGGATGCATGATGCAAGTTAAATTTGCTGACATATGAGCAGTTACTAATGTTTTTTCCTATTCCAGTTTAGTAAGTATGGTGGCACTTGTAAAATACTCGAGAACTTAAATGCTTTGAGCAAAAACCCTCTTTCCTTCTCTGCTTATATGTATGTTGACTTGTGTTGTTATGCAACAATACTAGCATTTTTTTTTTGAGAAATGGTAAAAGTTTACTTGCATATAATGAAGGCTGGAGAAAGAAATATTGTCATTTTTACCTTCATACTACAAGCTCCTATTCAAATTCTACTCCTCTCTTTCAGTATTTGTTGCTATTACTTATTAGGTTTGAATCCTCTTATTTGCTTGCAGAATAATATGGAGCAATGTGTGCCTGTTAGAGTAACTCGTGGACACGAATCTGCAAATAGTTATTGCGGCAAGGTCTACACTTACGATGGTTTATACACGGTGAGTAAAGATATTTGTCAGCAGTTGTTATCACTCCATCACAAATACCTTCTTTAATATTTTAGAATGCAGATAAAAAAGAAATGTCTTGCTGTAAATTGTTTTTCATTAGATTATAACATCAATGATGCCCTGTTGGATATTAAATTTTTTTAAATGCATATAATTGAATTGTAACAAATCTTGTTGGGGGATTGGAGACTAGCGGTTTATTTATTAAGGTTTCATCGATTTTCTATGGATTGGCTTCTCGAATGATTAAGGTTCTAGTGATGTCAGTAAACAAAATGGAGTAATGGGCTAGATTGAGAAGAGTGGACATGGGAATAGTTTAGGGTTATTTGTTTATTTTGGTGGTGGTGGTCGTGGTGGAATGGGAGATAAACAAACTAACTTAGTAGCATAGGAAGAATAGAAGCTATGCCTCAACATTTTCTTTTTAATAAGCAGTACAATAATTATATTAATAAAGGAGGGCGAGGTGCCCTCAACATGTTCATTATATTTATCCATATCACTGTGATAGGATGAGAAAACGAAGACTGCATACTGCAAGGATGCTTTAGACCATAAATTACTACATGTGCACACTTAGAATTGTGACCTCTTCCTTTACCTTGGTTCTATAATTCATAACAGGGGAGAGATCAAGTTGAAGGGTTAGAAAGGCTAGGGGCAGAGCAAAAAGGACATGGACTGAAGTAGTAAGAAATGATTTAAGTGCTCATTATTTAGCAATGGATATGACACTAAACTGAACAGATTGGCAAAACAGGATTCATGTAGCTGATGGTGCTGAACCTATATAGTTGAGACAAAGCTTAGATGATTTTGTTGATACTTTAACAGACCATTCTATGCTCATGTTTTTTGTACATGCCCTACATTTTGAGAGATACAGAGTTGTGTCCCCCCCTGTACTTGTCGTCTTTATTCATGGAAACATCAGAATGAGGCTGGCAAAAATAATTAAAAAAGGACCCTCTTCACTCATCACTCTTGTACGACTGCTAAGTGCTAACCACAGTTATACTGTAATAGACAAATAAAGGTTCTACAAAACAAAACAAAATAAAAGAATTTGCCAATCGGCATAAAAAAAATACACCCATTGGTACTGATCCCCTAACCCAATCTTTAGCAGGATTGAAAACTAATACATTAAAAATATAAGAACCTGTTTCATGCACCGCATCCTATCTGGAAAACTGATCCACTCTCTCTAAAACTATTACTCCTTTCCCCTGTGGTATGGACCATTTGGGAAGAAAGAAATCATAGGATTTTCAATGAGAAGAGTAGACCTAAGGAGGAGGTAATTGAAATCATAAAAAATCAGATCTGCAAACTGGTTAAGGCACGACTAGATGGAGTTTTAATCAAAGATCTGTGGTATGCATAATTAAATCTTAGTTGTGTGTGTCCAGAAAGGTTAAATTGATTGAAGGAGGATATTTCTTCTCAGTATGGTTAGTAATAGATATTGAAGCGGCCTTGTGGTTGGAAGCTAGAGGAAGAGAAGATGAAGAGGTGGAAAGAAGATGGTTACGTGGCAATAAGGGAAGGGTGTTTTCAGACCCTTCAGAAACTTTCACGCCTTTGGAAAGTGGTGAGGGAAGTAACTTGAAAGTTAAGCAAAAAGGTAGTGGATTGGCACAGGTTGGCGGTAGGTCTTATGCAGAGGCTCTGCGAGATGGTCAACAGACAATTACCTTAAAAAGAAACTGTGACAATGGAAAGGAGGGTGACAAACGTTGAGTCCACAGTCCAGGCCAAATGGAGTTAAATGGTTTGAAATTTAAATTTGTGGGACATGTGGGGACTAGTGAGGAAGGTGCACGGCTAAACGAGCAATTGGGGGAAACTAGTGTGGGCTTGACCCAGGCCTCTCCACCTGGGCCGATTGGAGTTGGTGAAAAAGAGGGTAGGGCCCAAATGAGTGGGAAGGAATTGGGCCGAGTGTTTTTCAAGGGGAATCAAGGAGGGTTGATTAGTGAAAAATTGGGCCTTAATAATGGGCCAAGCCCGGCCTTACTAAAGGGGTCACGTGACAATCGATGGTAAATTAGGTTCATCATCGTCCCTATCGAGTGTTCCTATATACTCTACAAAGTACAAACCAGGGGTAGAAGACGAACAGTGGGAGTCTCCAGTGGCAACCGTCCAAGGCCAAGCGAATGGAATCTCCCAAGAGAAGAAATCCGAGGAGTAAAAGGACAATGGTGGAAAGGGAGGAAGGCTAGAGGGGAGATGATTCTTCTACACGTGATCAAGAGAGTGACTATGATGATTTTGAAACATCAAGTATTTGGCAACTAACAAAGGATTCTAAGATTCAGAGAACTTCAACACGGACCAACTATTTTTGGAGGAAGACAATAACGAGGAGATGGAGAATGTGACTTTGTCGTCGAGTTCTGAAGCTGGACTGTTGTCTCTTAGGGAAGAAGATTGCTCCTTCGGTAGGGAACAAAGCCTGAGTCCAATGGTTCCAAACCTGATTTCAGAGGCTCAACATTTTCAGGGTGTTCCAGTGGGGGACTCAAGCGATTTCCCAATGCATTGTGAGGTTACACTAGTGATTTTGGTAACATTTAGTCAAGGGCTTTCGTGTAATCCTCTTGTACCTTGTCAACCACCAGATCGGGTCGGAAGGGATCTATTTGGGTTGTGTTCCACTCAAATTGGTACCAACCCCAACGCCTCTACGGAACCAAGTTCCCCAGGTAAAATTGTCAATTCGGTTTTGGATACTAACAACCTCCTTGTGTTTCCAGATGCTCCAGAGTGCCAACCATTGGTTGCTGTTCACTTAGGGGGTTGTGCAGGAGTAGGGGAAGAGATGGTGGAGGTTTTGGATAATCTGGAGCAAGGGGAGAGAATATGGAAGCTGGTGTGTTAGTTCTTAGAGGAGTTTAAAGCTCTAGAAGGCTATGCTGAAGAGCACAATGAGGTATTAGGGGGAGGGGGAGAACAAGAGGGTAGTGAGCTAGAGAGGAAGGAGGTAGAAGGAGCAAATGTTGGGGAGGGTGAGCAGGTTGGTGAAGTAGCGGGACAGATGAATCTAAAACTCAAAAAGACAGGAAGTTTAAAGATGTACTCTAAAAAGAAAGAGTCAAAAGGGAAGTCTAGAAAGAAAAAGAGGACAGAGGTTGAGAGACTAAGGTCGGATGTAGGTGACATTGAATTCAGTGCAAGAGGGGAAAGAAGGAAAGGACCGATTTCGTGGAAGGGTTACAGTGAGTATGGGGTATTTTTAATCTAGGTTCTATGAAGACTATTAGTTGGAAAGTTAGAGGATTAGGGAGTGCTAGGAAGAGAAGGATAATAAAGGATTTACATCGGAAGGAAGAGCTAGATATAGTAATGCTGCAAGAAACAAAAGTGCTGAAATGGATAGGAGGTGGGTGAGAAGTGTGTGGAGCACTAAAGGAGTAAATTAGGTGGCAGTGCCATCATGGGGAGCCTTAGGGGGGTTTAATAACAATGTGGAGGAATGAAATTCTAGATCCACTAGAGGAATTGGTTGGCCAGTATTTAGTGTCTAACTGTCTATTAAATTTAAGAACTTGGGGATTCCAATCAAGTGGTGCCCACAAGTATGATGAGGTTTAATGAGTTTATTGAGGCTTGTGAGTTGAAAGAGATTCCTTTCCAACAGACCATCTTCACTTGGTCCAATTTACAAGCTTCCCTTGTTTGTTCAAAATTGGATAGATTTATTTTCAATGCAACGTGGGTAGACCATTGGGGAAGTTTGATGGCTAGGGCCTTGCCTAGAGTTACCTCAGATCATTGCCCACTTAAAATTGGTTCAGAGGAGTTTTTGAATTATCTCATTCCTTTTAGGTTTGAAAATATGTCGCTCACCCATCCAGATTTTCTTAATAGAGTGGAAGAATGTTGGAATGAGGAGGTGAGGGATGCTGAGTGGAAGGGAGCGGGGTTTCATAAGAAATTACAACATATAAAAGGCAAATTAAAGGAATGGAATAGAGAACATTTTGGAAGAATTGAGGAAAGAAAGCTGAGAGTCACCTCTAAAATAGAACAGTTGGACATGAAGGAAAGTCAGGGTTGATGATAGATGAGGATAGAAGAGTAAGGTGGACATCAAGAAAGGAGCTAGAGGAGATTTTGCTAAGAGAAGAGATTTAGTGGATCAAGGAGGGGGATGGTAATACAAAATTCTTCCATGCAATAGCCAATGGTTTGCAAATTGGATCTTGAAAAGCATATGACATGGTGGACTGGGATTTTTTACTAGAGGTTTTCAAGCGGAGAGGGTTTGGGGAAAGATGGTGCAGTTGGGTAAAGGGATGCATTTCTTCATGTCATTTCTCAATATTGGTGAATGGTGTAGTTAGGGGTTTCTTTCTTGCAAAGAGGGGTATTAGGCAAGGAGATCCGTTGTCCCCGTTCCTCTTTACCCTAGTAGTCGATGTGTTGAGTACCATGATTTCGAGGGTCGATGCTAACAATTTGATAAGAGGTTGGAGGATTGGTAGGGAGGAGGTGGTGGTCACACACTTACAATTTGCAGATGAAATCATCTTGTTTGTGACGGAGAGGAAGGGGAACTATGGAATTTAAAGGGTCTAGTGCTTCAATTTGAAAGGAAGTCCAATCCTAAAGTGAACTGGGGAAAAAGTTGTGTGGCAGGGCTCAATTTAGGGGGAGAGGAGGTGGATTCCCTAGCTAGGATTTTGGGGTGTGAAGTGGGGGGCTGGCCTTTACAATATTTGGGGCTACCACTGCGAGGGAACCCAATGGTTGAGAGTTTTTGGTACCCTGTAATTGAAAGATTTTCCAAGATGTTAGCAAATTGGAAGAGGAATTACATCTCTTTAGGGGGTAGGATAACCTTATCAAGTCAACCTTAGCCAACCTGCTAGTTTATTTCCTGTCTACCTTTAGAGTACCAATGAAAGTAGCTAACCAGTTAGAGAAGATAATGAGCGATTTCTTGTGGGAACTAGGGGATACTAAGAAGTTGTTTC